GTGACTGTCCCCACTACGTGTCAATCCTTACCCTATCCGTGATTGTTTGGGCCTTAACAATAGGATAAAGTGAAGAACGAGGAATATCCACTTTATTAAAAATATTTTCAGTACGCACCCCCTTGAAATTAATCAAAAGTTGTACATAGGCGCGAGTTTCAGCGTCAGTTTTTAGCTTGTAAACCATATCGACGTTAATTCTGGATATCGCAGCCCTTTTATTACCTCATCGCGTAATTCCAATTGGCCCTATAATTCGGTCGTGAATAAGTCTATGTCACCCCCCACCACCAATAACATAATCATGTCATTGATTCCTTTAATTTTAGTTAAAATCAGTGTTATACACGGCTCAACTTGTGTGCAGTAGCACAATTTTACATGTCTGAAATATGTATCTGTGTTTTCCGGCTAGATTTTTGACGCTCTGAATTTTTGTGCGATGACGTTACTCTATGGGCCAAATTGTTTGTTTTTAAACATCAATTTATAGAGTTTCGTCCTGATTTGTAGTATGCGTAGAGTAAAATGTATGAAGCGTGTGTCATTACTTAATCTTGTACCCCCGCGCGCGTTCCTGGTACCCTGTCGGGTCGAGACGAAATGATTTGTGTTGTGATCAATGCCGTTGCTGCGGATGTAATGTTTTCACAAGTATTATCAATAGTGGAAAAAGGATGGCAACATTAAGGTACAATGAAAATTGTTCTGGTAAATGGTTAACTTAAGCGAATGAAGTACTGCAGAGTAACAGAGGGACATGCAATATTTTTGACATTGACCTTTGCCATTAGTGAAAAGACGTGAACAATATACAGGTTATGAACCTTATAAATGATGGGCCAGCCGTTTGTGCTGTGCCCTACATATAGATGTGTTTTTTAAAATTTTTGAGACCTTTTCTAACCTAACTGATCCAAACCTTTAGCGTAGGTAGGCGTCGAGGTTAGGAATGTACTTTTGTATTGATTTTACATGACCGCCTGCCATTTATTCAGTGGCATGATTGTCTATTGATGTTGGACGGACAACTATTTCATTTCCCAGCTCGTAAATCACACAATGCCAAAGAAATTGTTTTCAAAATAGACACACCAGTTTGTATCATCGCCAAAACAGCAATTACTTTGGCCCAGAAGTTCACCTGATGACAAGCAAAGCGGAATAACACGTGATCGATGACGGCTGTGCGCTGGGAAATTTTCCTTCTAAACATCACACAGATAGTAGACAAGTGATTGGGACCAGGCAGTGTTTATTTACATTCCACAGTGCAATAAACCACTAGACTATTAACAATTCAACGTAAACGATAAGAAAGAGGATACTACAGCCATACAATGAAGTCAACCGAAAAATTACAAAATGAAGAAACAAAAACAAAACAACGAACAATCAAACTGCCCTAGGTGTGGCTGGGGGGGGAAGCGAAAATACAAGCTATTTAAAAATGCTATAATTGCTGTTGCTAGTAAAGCGTAGGTTCAAATGAACTCGATTAGCTATACATCTAATACGAAACGTGCTAGGTTGGGCAATTCCCTGAGACTTACTAGCGTGGACTATTTTGATTGGTTCTAATAAAGTCTTGTGATTATACAATGAAAGTTGCTCAATATGAAAATACGGACTATGAACCCTTCCTGCCCCCAACCAGGGCCTCTCTGCTACCGATGTCTAGATTTATATTAATAGGATTAATATTCACCTAAACATCAGACAGATAGTAGACAAGTGATTGGGACCAGGCAGTGTTTATTTACATTCCACAGTGCAATAAACCCCTAGACTATTAACAATTCAACGTAAACGATAAGAAAGAGGATACTACAGCCCAAACCCAGAGATGAGATAGGCGTGAGGTGTTAGTGAGCGTGAGAGTGGTGTGGATTATGACGGAAGATGGCTTTACAAAGCATGTTAGCTGAGTGAAGGCGAACGGTTAAAGGCATGGTTAAATAGATTAAAATGGTGTCAGAGCGCCAATCGCCGAGAGCTTTAATTAGTTCAATGGGTACCCCTGAGTGATAGGCGAAAGAAGCAGCTCCTCTGCGAAAAGAATGCCCCGCGTAAAGCTTTGGATCAAAACCGAGCGACGCAAGATGACGGCGCAGTACCAAAACAAAAGAATTATACGTGAAAACCTTAGCGGCCTGGCGCTCGTCTAACCAGTTAAATGCCTGCGAATCGGTTGTGGAGACAGTAGCTGTAAAACGAAAAGCATTAATGACAGCGGCCGTCGGACATAGCTTAGAGCGAGGGATGCAAGGCAGTGGGATTTCCACTATCCGTTCACGAAATTGGATAGTCTTACTCCAACGAATAGTGATCAGGGTACCCCAGGGGAATATTTTGAATCTGCCTTAGTCAGTTGTTTACGCGGGTCAAATAAATGAGGGGCCATAGGTAAAAGGTGCGATTTGCGGAACATACCATAGAAAGCCACCAGACAGGTGGCCCAGAAAGAAGCGTCGGTGCTATTTGCCAAATTAAGTCGATCATGGAGCTGAGAAAGCATAGCGGGCGTAATTGGTTGTTTTTGATTTACTGTTAATCCTTTTTGTCTATTAATGCCGGTGAGCAGGGTCCTCAGTGGCCAGTTGTCAAGCAGCGGGTTAGGCAGGCCAAATTCCTTGTGGAGGATGCCAATGATGTTTAGGTAGCTTCGAACTGTGGCAGCTTTTAAACTTCTGGCCAAGAAGGCCGCGTAATGCAGCAGATGTGTAGGCTGAACGGGGACCGGGCTGTAACCCATATAGTGGCAGAAACGCAGATAGGTGTCGCGATGGGTCTGGTAAGTCGCTTTCGTTGATTCTGCAAAGCGCTGAGCACGATACTTAGAAACTTCCTGTTGCAATTGAAAAGCCAACCGAGGGTCGCGTGCACCTAAAAAATATAAGAGAGCGGCTGTAAGGGGACATATGATCCGTCAAGACCGTGTTGTCAACAACCCCGGGCGCAAAACGCGCTTGCAGGAAGGAATAAAAAACGAGGAGGTGACCCCGCTCGTGAAGCCGAGATATAGCGTCCGCAGTGGTGTTACGAAACCCTTCGAGATAAATAGCGGTAATGTGAAAATTGTACATAGCAGAAAGCCAGAAGAGTTCACGTAACTCCTGCATGATCACTTCGTTGCCTGTGGTGCCCTTGTTGATAATCTGGACGGCGGCCTGATTGTCACTATAAATAGTGACGCGATGATTTGCCCACACGTGTCCCCAGCGCTTGGCAGCTAGAACAATAGCTAGGGTTTCTTTGTGGTTAATATGTAGCTGGGATCATGCTGGGTTGTCGAGGGAAAAGTGAAAATAGAACCAATCACCCCGAAAATAGCCTCCCGCCGCGAGAGAGCACGAATCAGTCATAACATCGACTGTGGGTCGGTCCTCTAAGAAAAACTGCTTTCCGTTGAATACGCGCAGAAATTTTTCCCACCGGGAAATGTCGCAGTAAAAGGAAGGTCCTAAACGGTGCTTAGCCCCTGGTGAAAGGGAATTCATGGTAGTAAGCACTCTGCGGAGAAAAGTGCGTCCGCCGTAAACGACTCTGCACGCCCAATTAAGTTTGCCCGCCAGCCGCTGCAGTTGGTTTTTGGTAGCGCGGCGTTTATGCATGAAGCTAGATACAAGAGCTTGACATTCACGGAGTTTTTCTTGTGGGAGCGTCATAGTGCAAGCAACTGTGTCGAGTTCGACGCCTAGAAACGTTAGCTGGCGTGTTGGCGGCACGAGTTTGTGCTGGCTGATGGTGAAACCCAAATCCGTGAGCAACTGTAGTAACACTTCGTACGCGCGAGCGCATTCCGCCTGCGTGGCACCGATAACAAGAAAATCGTCAAGGTACACGATGACATGCGGAAATCCTCTCTTAGCCATCATACGCCGTACAGCCTGTGTCAAGCGATGGAAGATTTCTGGGGAACTTTTAGCACCAAATGGAAGACGAGTGTCGTAAAAATAAGTGTCGAAGTCATCTCCCGAAAAACGCCACTTGCAACCAGTCGCCTGATAATTTGCAGGGTGAATAGGCACTGACCGGTAAGCATGTTTGAGATCGATTTTGGCCATAAAATAATTGGGTTTTAGAAGTTTAATCGCGTCATCTAACGTTTGAAATTTGAAGGAACGAGTGCTGATAAAATCATTAACCGCGTGGCCATGCGGTCGCGAACAGTCATGAATGAGACGCACCTCGGTGGAATTCGGTTTTGGAATAGCTCCTAAAGCGCTAACCACCGTAGGTTTAGTAGCAGAAATAACATAATTGCCTTGCTGAATTTCGTCCCGAATGGTTTTTTCCACCAGCGGGCGGATAGCGGGGTTAGTAGCCGATTTATAGTTGCGCATGTTGACATCGGTAAATTGCGTATTGATATTTGCCATTTGGAAGCCGTTAATAATGCCATCTGCCAAAAAAGTTTCGTCCTCGTCGCCCTCGAGTTCGCATTGCCAAGTTTTTGCGTTTAGCGGTGAATTAATGTGCGGTAGTCAATTTTGCGGAGCCGGTTTATTTTGCTGTTGCGTCGAAGTACTTTGCTGAGTAGAGTGGATGTAGCCCGGATGGTTGAGGCCGCAAGCTTTACCGCCCGAAGCGCGGCGATTGCACACATGTTCGTATGCACAATTTTGCAAACTACAACCCCTTGAACTATTAAAGTTACGACAGATAGTGCGCCCATCGTTAGTGGTGGCTATGAATCCCGGGATGAACTGAGTGCTGGGGTTAGCGGTGCGGTTAGGTGACCTAGGAACATGGGAGGGTTTATAAATGGGCTCTAAAATAACTGTGTGGAGGTGATTCGAATCAAAACTCCACGGATAATGATATGCTGCCTGTAAGAGGCGAAATTCATCGTCATACTTAAGGACCGAGGCCCAATGGTACCGGTTGGAAAGTTCCATCACCTTAATAGTATATGCTAAATAATTCTGGATCTCGGCTTGCGAGTTTAGTTTCCTACTTGCTAACAAGTTATAAAAAATTCTGGTATTGCTAATCACTCACTGGGACATGGTGATTTGTTCTAAACGGGGCTTTTTAGGCCCATAGGATACAACTAATTTGGTGTTTCCACCATCTGCTATTGTTCGCTCCTCATCTTTAGGGACAATATTGTCAACAAAGTCTACAATCCTTAAGGCTTTCTCACCGGTTTGGGGTTGCGCTGGCCTCAGAAACATCTCCGACGCTCGTGATTCCAGCCAGGAGTTTGAAAGAATCGGGGCCGGTTGGGAGCCTGCAGGAACAGTATGGAAATCACCTTGCAGCTGGCCTTGCATGCTCCATAAAGATTGGGTTTGGTCTGCAGCACTGCTCGAGCTGGGATTTATATTGAGGAGACTATCCAATGGCGTTGGTAAGGCGTCCTTGGGAAGGAGTGTACGTAGATCTTTCACGTTGGACGGGCCATGAGGCAACTCGTGTTCCGGCCGGCCGGTCGTCACGTCGCCGGCAGCCAATTTTGCCCGTTTGTCGGCCACCCGTTTCTGGAGAAAAGCTATTCGAGTCTGTTTCTCTCTTCGTTCTTCTTCAAGGTCTAATTCTGCCAGCTCCCTCTCCAGATCTCTGATCTGCTCGTCTTCGTCCGGACTAGCGATTGTGGCGGATTTTGTGTGTTTCGGAGAACTGAGCTCCTCGCCTTCGCAGTACTTGCTCGGAATTCCCCATGCGTGGTCAGTAAGAGGGGTTCCGCAGCCTGAACATTTGGAAACTCGTTTCTCCGAAGGTGATTCTTGTGACATGATCGAAGCGAAAATACAAGCTATTAAAAAATGCTATAATTGCTGTTGCTAGTAAAGCGTGGGTTCAAATGAACTCAAATAGCTATACATCTAATACGAAACGTGCTAGGTTGGGCAATCCCCTGAGACTTACTAGCGTGGACTATTTTGATTGGTTCTAATAAAGTCTTGTGATTATACAATGAAAGTTGCTCAATATGAAAATACGGACTATGAACCCTTCCTGCCCCCAACCAGGGCCTCTCTGCTACCGATGTCTAGATTTATATTAATAAGATTAATATTCACTTTTATGCGCTAATTCCTCACAAAAGGCGAAAGAAGATTCCGCTATGTGGAAAGTGCTTCGCAATACGTATTGTTGGCTAGAAAAATTCCAGCGATGTGGTGCAAATAAGGAGTTTCAACGGTTAACCACGAGAGTACATATCGACATTAAGAGGTGACATAACAGACTAATGTTACTTTCCGTTTGCCGAAACGTGGTTAACCGTTGTAACACGAAGGAAGCAGTTTTTTCCTCAGTTTGAGCTGTCGTTTTCTTTGAGAGTTAAATACCAGTTCACGTTTCAAAGCTCTCTTTTCATTTTCTCTGCCGACAATACACAAAAACACAGGGTTTCGCTTGAGAAATGCAGTCGAAATACACAGACATATGCGCTTATGTCACGCTATTTGCGTTGCGTCATCATGTCACACAGGGTGTCACGAGGTGGGATTGAAAGTAATTGTTTTCGTGTACACTTGCAATGTTTGCTACGCTGTCCTTAGTTTTTTATTGAATTGGCCATGAATTTACCTTCACTTTTCCGTAGTTTCGATATTGAACGCAGTGACGGCCGCTCCTCACTAACGCTCCATATTTCCGTGGCCGGCCAGTGACTGTCCCCACTACGTGTCAATCCTTACCCTATCCGTGATTGTTTGGGCCTTAACAATAGGATAAAGTGAAGAACGAAGAATATCCACTTTATTAAAAATATTTTCAGTACGCACCCCCTTGAAATTAATCAAAAGTTGTACATAGGCGCGAGTTTCAGCGTCAGTTTTTAGCTTGTAAACCATATCGACGTTAATTCTGGATATCGCAGCCCTTTTATTACCTCATCGCGTAATTCCAATTGGCCCTATAATTCGGTCGTGAATAAGTCTATGTCACCCCCCACCACCAATAACATAATCATGTCATTGATTCCTTTAATTTCAGTTAAAATCAGTGTTATACACGGCTCAACTTGTGTGCAGTAGCACAATTTTACATGTCTGAAATATGTATCTGTGTTTTCCGGCTAGATTTTTGACGCTCTGAATTTTTGTGCGATGACCTTACTCTATGGGCCAAATTGTTTGTTTTTAAACATCAATTTATAGAGTTTCGTCCTGATTTGTAGTATGCGTAGAGTAAAATGTACGAAGCGTGTGTCATTACTTAATCTTGTACCCCCGCGCGCGTTCCTGGTACCCTGTCGGGTCGAGACGAAATGATTTGTGTTGTGATCAATGCCGTTGCTGCGGATGTAATGTTTTCACAAGTATTATCAATAGTGGAAAAAGGATGGCAACATTAAGGTACAATGAAAATTGTTCTGGTAAATGGTTAACTTAAGCGAATGAAGTACTGCAGAGTAACAGAGGGACATGCAATATTTTTGACATTGACCTTTGCCATTAGTGAAAAGACGTGAACAATATACAGGTTATGAACCTTATAAATGATGGGCCAGCCGTTTGTGCTGTGCCCTACATATAGATGTGTTTTTAAATTTTTTGAGATCTTTTCTAACCTAACTGATCCAAACCTTTAGCGTAGGTAGGCGTCGAGGTTAGGAATGTACTTTTGTAATGATTTTACATGACCGCCTGCCATTTATTCAGTGGCATGATTGTCTATTGATGTTGGACGGACAACTATTTCATTTCCCAGCTCGTAAATCACACAATGCCAAAGAAATTGTTTTCAAAATAGACACACCAGTTTGTATCATCGCCAAAACAGCAATTACTTTGGCCCAGAAGTTCACCTGATGACAAGCAAAGCGGAATAACACGTGATCGATGACGGCTGTGCGCTGGGAAATTTTCCTTTTTTATGCGCTAATTCCTCACAAAAGGCAAAAGAAGATTCCGCTATGTGGAAAGTGCTTCGCAATACGTATTGTTGGCTAGAAAAATTCCAGCGATGTGGTGCAAATAAGGAGTTTCAACGGTTAACCACGAGAGTACATATCGACATTAAGAGGTGACATAACAGACTAATGTTACTTTCCGTTTGCCGAAACGTGGTTAACCGTTGTAACACGAAGGAAGCAGTTTTTTTCCTCAGTTTGAGCTGTCGTTTTCTTTGAGAGTTAAATACCAGTTCACGTTTCAAAGCTCTCTTTTCATTTTCTCTGCCGACAATACACAAAAACACAGGGTTTCGCTTGAGAAATGCAGTCGAAATACACAGACATATGCGCTTATGTCACGCTATTTGCGTTGCGTCATCATGTCACACAGGGTGTCACGAGGTGGGATTGAAAGTAATTGTTTTCGTGTACACTTGCAATGTTTGCTACGCTGTCCTTAGTTTTTTATTGAATTGGCCATGAATTTACCTTCACTTTTCCGTAGTTTCGATATTGAACGCAGTGACGGCCGCTCCTCACTAACGCTCCATATTTCCGTGGCCGGCCAGTGACTGTCCCCACTACGTGTCAATCCTTACCCTATCCGTGATTGTTTGGGCCTTAACAATAGGATAAAGTGAAGAACGAAGAATATCCACTTTATTAAAAATATTTTCAGTACGCACCCCCTTGAAATTAATCAAAAGTTGTACATAGGCGCGAGTTTCAGCGTCAGTTTTTAGCTTGTAAACCATATCGACGTTAATTCTGGATATCGCAGCCCTTTTATTACCTCATCGCGTAATTCCAATTGGCCCTATAATTCGGTCGTGAATAAGTCTATGTCACCCCCCACCACCAATAACATAATCATGTCATTGATTCCTTTAATTTCAGTTAAAATCAGTGTTATACACGGCTCAACTTGTGTGCAGTAGCACAATTTTACATGTCTGAAATATGTATCTGTGTTTTCCGGCTAGATTTTTGACGCTCTGAATTTTTGTGCGATGACGTTACTCTATGGGCCAAATTGTTTGTTTTTAAACATCAATTTATAGAGTTTCGTCCTGATTTGTAGTATGCGTAGAGTAAAATGTACGAAGCGTGTGTCATTACTTAATCTTGTACCCCCGCGCGCGTTCCTGGTACCCTGTCGGGTCGAGACGAAATGATTTGTGTTGTGATCAATGCCGTTGCTGCGGATGTAATGTTTTCACAAGTATTATCAATAGTGGAAAAAGGATGGCAACATTAAGGTACAATGAAAATTGTTCTGGTAAATGGTTAACTTAAGCGAATGAAGTACTGCAGAGTAACAGAGGGGGACATGCAATATTTTTGACATTGACCTTTGCCATTAGTGAAAAGACGTGAACAATATACAGGTTATGAACCTTATAAATGATGGGCCAGCCGTTTGTGCTGTGCCCTACATATAGATGTGTTTTTAAATTTTTTTGAGATCTTTTCTAACCTAACTGATCCAAACCTTTAGCGTAGGTAGGCGTCGAGGTTAGGAATGTACTTTTGTAATGATTTTACATGACCGCCTGCCATTTATTCAGTGGCATGATTGTCTATTGATGTTGGACGGACAACTATTTCATTTCCCAGCTCGTAAATCACACAATGCCAAAGAAATTGTTTTCAAAATAGACACACCAGTTTGTATCATCGCCAAAACAGCAATTACTTTGGCCCAGAAGTTCACCTGATGACAAGCAAAGCGGAATAACACGTGATCGATGACGGCTGTGCGCTGGGAAATTTTCCTTTTTTATGCGCTAATTCCTCACAAAAGGCAAAAAGAAGATTCCGCTATGTGGAAAGTGCTTCGCAATACGTATTGTTGGCTAGAAAAATTCCAGCGATGTGGTGCAAATAAGGAGTTTCAACGGTTAACCACGAGAGTACATATCGACATTAAGAGGTGACATAACAGACTAATGTTACTTTCCGTTTGCCGAAACGTGGTTAACCGTTGTAACACGAAGGAAGCAGTTTTTTTTTCCTCAGTTTGAGCTGTCGTTTTTTTGAGAGTTAAATACCAGTTCACGTTTCAAAGCTCTCTTTTCATTTTCTCTGCCGACAATACACAAAAACACAGGGTTTCGCTTGAGAAATGCAGTCGAAATACACAGACATATGCGCTTATGTCACGCTATTTGCGTTGCGTCATCATGTCACACAGGGTGTCACGAGGTGGGATTGAAAGTAATTGTTTTCGTGTACACTTGCAATGTTTGCTACGCTGTCCTTAGTTTTTATTGAATTGGCCATGAATTTACCTTCACTTTTCCGTAGTTTCGATATTGAACGCAGTGACGGCCGCTCCTCACTAACGCTCCATATTTCCGTGGCCGGCCAGTGACTGTCCCCACTACGTGTCAATCCTTACCCTATCCGTGATTGTTTGGGCCTTAACAATAGGATAAAGTGAAGAACGAAGAATATCCACTTTATTAAAAATATTTTCAGTACGCACCCCCTGAAATTAATCAAAAGTTGTACATAGGCGCGAGTTTCAGCGTCAGTTTTAGCTTGTAAACCATATCGACGTTAATTCTGGATATCGCAGCCCTTTTATTACCTCATCGCGTAATTCCAATTGGCCCTATAATTCGGTCGTGAATAAGTCTATGTCACCCCCCACCACCAATAACATAATCATGTCATTGATTCCTTTAATTTCAGTTAAAATCAGTGTTATACACGGCTCAACTTGTGTGCAGTAGCACAATTTTACATGTCTGAAATATGTATCTGTGTTTTCCGGCTAGATTTTTGACGCTCTGAATTTTTGTGCGATGACGTTACTCTATGGGCCAAATTGTTTGTTTTTAAACATCAATTTATAGAGTTTCGTCCTGATTTGTAGTATGCGTAGAG